AGCAACACAGACACATCTACATGGTCACATGGAGTCCAACTCAAAGACTTAAATATGTATCATGATGGTGGAATATGCAATTTTCTGTATGAGCTGAAGTTACCCTACATACTCAGTGGCAAGGAATGCTGGGAGCTGTTGTGCAGTACACCTAAATAGCTACAGTCCTGCTTCCTGATTTTTAGTATGAAACTGAATCAGCCTCTACCATTCCCAAACCTTTGTGATAAGCAAGCCATCTACCATCTCAACATCAGTTCTGCGTTCCGCTTTTCTCTCCCCCACCTCCCCCGGGGGATAATAATCTATCAAATCAGAGTGTTGTAAAGATTATGGAAATAATATGTGTGAAACTTCATACACTAAAGATATCCTGTGAATGATTAATTCTGCCAACCTATATATAGTCCCACTTTTCCCCACTTGGCGGAGCCCTCAATGTTGGCAAGATAATATCAATGTCTAATTACTTGTGAAACTTGTCATTTTATATTAAAAACACCGAACACTTTTATTAGTTGTGTAAATAATGAATTAGGTTTAGTGGATTAATACATTTTAATATATGACAGGGAGAAGCAATAATGCAATTTTAATATCAGTGATGAAGGAAATTAAACTGCAGATAGTTTATACTCTTCTTGAATATTCATATAGACTGATGAAACTTTCTAATCAAATTGAGGACAATTTTTATTGGTAACAGCAACTGGATTAAGCTTGAATTAGATTCCAAATGTTGACATTACCTTGATTTTGGGGCAGGATGATGCAAAGCTGGTTCCATAGTCAGAGATGCTAGTGACAAACAGCAGGAAATGGCTGATACTTTAATGATGTTCAGCACAACAATACTGTGTTTTACTCAGATGCAATTGAATTGATCCCAGGAATTTATGCTGTAGCCCTTGTAAATTTCCCATGTGAAAATTGGCTAAATCTAGCATGTCAGTTCAGATGACTTGAAGGCCAGCTGGGACACTGCAAGGTTGCCATGATATATCACTGATTTGTAAACCCTGTGGACAAAGTGATTAATTCTTTAAAAAAATTGAAAACCTCATTAGGGAACAAAGTAAGTTGAAAGAGACTTAGATTGCTAATAATTAGTGAACTCATAGGTATGGCTGTCATTTTATAACTACTTTGCAATAGCACTGCTAATGGGAAATTAATAGCATTTTCCTAGCAATCATATACTGTTGAGTACTGAGGAAATGCCCAGAACAAGAATGCTTTTTCAATATACGTAACATATTGAACTTGGCCTATTAATAAACAACTACTACTATACATTTTTCTTTGATTTGAGAAAAGGAAATACTGTTATATACAGCTACATTACAATTTAATTTTGGAATAATATATTCAGTGTAGTTTGCCCCTAGTCAAGAGGGATATTGATATAAAAATTCAGAAGTACAGTATGACAGGAGAACCAGGATATTAGAAAATGAAAAAAGGCTTATATTGGAGAAGAGAGGGAGGAATAACCTAGACAGTCCTGTGATTTCTTTTGGAGCTGTCAGTATACAGTCCATCTATTCAAACCAAGTCTCACTGAGTTCAAAGGAACATGGTCCTAAGAAATTAAGTATAGAATTACAGCCCTACAGACAGGAGATACTAGAACTTTGGGTTATATCCAAGACAGAAGCAAGGTTTCTGATGCCCAATTATTTAACAGCAGTACCAGCAAAAATATAACTCCCCAGCCTATCTTAAATAATAAAAGCAAAATAAAGATCGCTAGAACCCATTTTCTTTTAGGAAAGACTGTGAACACCATTCCTAGGCTCAAAATTTCTGAATTGTATGTTAATATCTTTTGGTTCTGGGCTCCAGTTGATATAAACTTTGAAACTTGTTCATCAGTACTATAGCTGCCCATGATTTAGGAATAATATTATAAGACAAAAGACTGAAGTCCATGCAAATTCATCAATGCTTGGAAGGTTCCTTACTTAACTCCTGAGTATTGTTACTTACTCACAGTCATAATTGTTGCTTATTTCCCCTCCTTGCATATCCATATATTAGAATATCTGCACTTGGACACTCTTCATTCATATCTCCTTATCTGTGAATCAACAGTGCCACAACAACGGTTTTATCTATCATTGTGATATTTAATGTTCAATCTTGAGGTTTGGATTTAGAAGCAAAGAGCTTGAACCTAAAATCAACCCATTTATCTCTCCAGATCCACACATCTATGTATATACTTACATAAGTTGCATGTCACTCTGAATGTCTTGCATTTCTTAGGCTCTGGCATGGTTTCTGAATAGACCTGCTTCTCTTGTGCTCTTTTTTGCTCTCTGACTGCAGGATGAGGAAATATTAATGTTAGATAATACTCACCTAGTTTTTTAATAGATATTTATGCATGCAATGTATATCCCATATGTCAATATTTAAAAATAGATTTGCATTTATAATTGCATAACAACTGCAATATGACTAAGGTGATGCCTTGTGATGTACCTAGGAGCCTGGGGATCTTGAGGAAGTGGACAAGGATTCTTGTGATCTTAGCTCCACCACATGGGTCTCCTGAAAACAGCCAGGGATGGGACTGAGAGTTGGATCCAGGTGATGGCCAATGTCAATTTGAGGGAGGAAGAATTTTCAGTGGCTTTCAAGGCACTGATCCCTTCATTCAAAAGGCCAGCCCTGGATCCAATGGTAATGGACAACTACTGTTCTATCTCCAATCTCCCATTCTTGGGAAGCTTGTTGAGATAGTGGTGGGGCAACCTCTGGAAGATACAGATTATCTGGACCCATTTCAGTTTGAATGCAGGCCTTGATATGAAACTACTGAAAGTGCATTAGTTGCTCTCATTAATGACCTCTGGCGGGACTTGGATGAATAGAGTATAACCATTCTTCTCCTGTTGGACCTTTCAGGTGGGCCTTCAGTTCTTTTAACCACACTACCCTTCTGTATGGCCTACAAGGAGGCACTGTATTCTGGAGCCTTCACTTCTCAACCACTTCCAAAATCCTACAAGTTCATGCTAACCAGGGATGGAAAAGGAGGGGCACCTTAAACTTATTTCAAAGGGTGGAGGGCTCTGAAGCCGTGTCTGGCCCATCCCATTCCATTTGGGGCTCCTAAACTAATGGGAGCCCTGCTAGCAGTAAATTTTATATAGTAGAGCTTTCTTATTACATAAGGGATATGAGTGGCTCAAAAGGTACTGCTGTTGCTAGAGACAAAGGACAAATCATTTCCCAATTTCATGTTGCAAAAGCTAACCAGACTACAGTTGAATCTTGCTTCCATGTTGGCTGCCTCATCCACCCCGGAGGGGAACAGACTCTATTCTGGAGCGGGGAGGGGGGGTCGCAGAGCAGGTGTGCTGCTTCTGTCCTTGCCAGCCCTCTGGATCTACTGCTTGCCTCACTCTGCCTAGAAGGGCTCCAGGGCAGATCCTCCTTTCCACTGAGGTTTATCTTTTCCTGCTGAAAAGGGGCCACTCCCCACTTGTATCTGATCACAACCCAAACAAGCCACCACAACCTCTTTTTTCCTGCTATGTCCCCTTGTGCTTTCCTTCATCTGGTTCCCAGTCTATGAATGAGGCAGTCTTAAGCCTGTCTTTTTACTGGTATTACCGCAGGACTTTCCCCCATATTTTGGCACCATGCAAGGACAGCCTCGAGCTATGTAAAATCTGTTCCTTTTGTCATTTGTCACCTAACCTTGGACGAAAGCCAGTGATTTGAAGCCAGAGTAACAGAAGTAGGATAGGACAGGGATTGGCAACTGGGAGCAGCAAATTTCATACAGGTATTATTTTCTGCCCACTCAAGGATGGCTAGATAGCTCTTCAGCTCAACAGTGGAGAAAACCCTTGAGGGAGATAAGATTGTTCCACCGATCTCACTGCAATCCTAAATCGAGGCGTTCCTGCACAAAGTATCCCCCGCTCACCCGCTGATGGTGCTAAGTATAGTTCAAACGTGTCTATTCGCATGGATAAGGGGAGGAAAGAAATAGCAACTACGTCTTTTGAGCCGCAAGGAATTTTTGTTCCCTGCTCAAGGGTTGAGCGCTCCGCGGCAACCTTCGGGTATCTTTGCTCACTACGAAGGAACAGACCCCTGATCGCCGCCCAGACTAATTTCTCTCCCACCATTCCGCGCTGCTGCCTCCTACTCTGTTCCCGCTCAAAGAAAGAGCTCTTTGAAAGCAGCAGCTCAATGTGCCTCTCTCCCATCTTTTATTCTAAACGGGCCGAATCCTTTGTGCTTCCCAAGCCGGATGGGAGGAGGGAGGAGCGCTCGGAGATGGCTGGCCGCCTATCCCATCCCTTCGCGAAGGTGCTGCTCGTCGTCGCTACGACCCCAAAGCCGGCGTCACCAAGGGCACTTCCAGCGTTCGGGGGGAGTCTCAGGGTCTCCCAGTTTCTTGGAAGCGCCCCCACGGAGAGCCATCGGCCGGCAGCGGGCCCACCTATGGGCGAGCCATTGCCGCTTTAAGCGGAAGACCATGCTGGGCGGTGGGTTGGGTCCCCACGCTCCCCCTCGCTCCCCCACGTGGTCTCGGTTCTTGTGAATTTCAATCGCTAGAGGGTCTGGGTACAGACACCGGCCCCGCAGCTGAGGCTGGGGCGTCCGTCCGGAATCGGTCCCTGCCGGCTTTCGGGCAGGCT